ACTTTTAAACATCTTCATGTTTATACAAAAAGGGGAAATAGAAGAATCATATTAAATATAAATTTTGCTTTCTTCCCTTTTCTGGGTGAACTTCAGGCCACAATGAGAATAATAACGAAGCATATCTTTACTGTGGGGAGGTCAGAATTTCATCCTTAATTCTTCATTGCTAAACCTAAAATTTTATTTTCCGTAAGATATTTTATTAGTTACTAGTACTGAATAATATAATTCTGACATGTATTTATAGAGTTCTTACTGGGTTTCTCTTCTAGCAATTTTAAATGTTTAATGGGTTAGAGAATAACCATAGAGGAAGCTAAGCACAAATGCCATGAAAATGTATCTATTTGCAGGCAGATGCTGCAAGGGGAAAATGTGGAGGATGTGTGTGGTTGGTTATTTGTGTAGGAAACTATTGTCTACTTTAGGCATCGGCCATGTAGACTTTCATTTCATTCTGCAGAAAATGTGAGCTAAGAAAATGTACATCTAAGAATAATTATTAATTTTGGTTTGAGCTATGGGTTGATGAAGTGAGGCAGGGGAGGGTGGATCAACTTAAAGTAAAATAGAGCAGCCTGGGATGAAAGTAGTCACCTGGTGGCAGCATTCTGCACAGTTACATGTGAGCCTTTCTTTTTATTTCCCAAGTCAAATTCTTGTGTCCAGTGACAGGAGTTCTGCTGAGGCCTATGCCTCCCTTCAGGGCATGCCTCCCATGGCTGAAAGGCACATCATTCTGGGTGGTCTACGGATATGACTGAGGTGGGACCCCACAGGGAGTCTTATGCTGTCATCTTTGGCCAGAAGGATGGTGGAATCACACTTAGACCTCAAAAGTGGACTGAAGGATTAAACAGAAGGGAAAAAGCAGCAGTGAATGTGTTAGCATGTCCTGCAAGAATCAGCTCATTTTTGGAAAATGAATGTCTCTCAGTGATTGTGGGAATTTCAGGAGTGGTACAGACCCTACGGAGTTCAGGAACTGCTTTTGCAAATCTTATATAGCCAGTTCCTCAGTAGGTTATATACAAGAACATAGAGAAGCAACCTCTGGCTCTTAAAAAAAAAATCAAAAATCTGTACAGAGTTAAAAAGATACTGTTGACTAACTTAAAATAATGAAGCTCAGGAAGATTTTAACTTTAAGCTACTTAAAGCTGTGCCAATGGGACACACTGTACAGCATTGGGGACTTTGAACTTTTAGATAGGTTTTGTGTGGTGGAAGAGAAACATTGGTTAGTAATAGCAACAGGGATGGTGTGATGTAGAAAATTGCCCTTCCATGTGGTAGATCTGGACCAACACGGTGTATTTTTTAGAATCTATAGGACTAGAATGGTCAGATTGGGTTGGTTCTGCGAATGCTCCATCCCTAACATGTTATTCATGCTGATTACATTTGCATATGAGTCACATTCAGTTTGAATTGGCCAGATGTCCGTTTATGTTTGTTTAAATAATGACATCATTCCATGAAGTGAACAGGATCTAAAAATATAGAGGGAAGACTGTTTAGAAAACCAAAAATTGAAATGCCTTACTTATATATTTTCATATCTCAGGGTATATTATGCAAGCAGAAGCATCGCAAGGTTGAAGCACCGTTCAAAAAAATGTCCCTGTTGCTAACACTTCATTAAACAATGTATTATATAACGAACCTTCATTGGATTTGTTTCTATTTCCTAGTCAATTCCTCCGTTAATGGGAATGTTCTGCTTCCAAATACACTCAAATATACCATTTTCAAAGCCAGCATAATTTTGCTGCTTCTCATTTTTGAAGATCCCAAGTATTTTCAGAGTGTTTCTTCATTTAATGGAAAATGGAAGAATTTTAAAACGTACTGCTCAAGGTAAAGCTTGTACATAAATTGAGGAGACAAGGGGCAACTGAATTCTGAACTTTTATGTTATTGAATTCACATAAACCTTGTACAAGCAATAAACTTTTCTTATGGACAAAAGGAGACTACCAACTAACCACTTGAGTTCAACAGAGACTCCTCAAATGTGTACTTAATTCATTTGAGGCTCATAAAATCTTTCTCAAGCCTAAAGACATTCTGGTTTGTTCGTACGGCAGCCAATCACTGCGCACGTTAAACTTTTACATTAGTATTTGGTGAAATAAATTTTGCAGTATACGATTTGAGATCGCTGCTTAACTAAAGAAAGTTAACAGCAGCATATCAGAACACACATCTGGCAAGCTACTTTGATCTCTTTAGAGTCTGCAAGAAAAGAAAATGGGGACTTGAGCCTAAGCTCTTGGGTAAAGCTCAATAAAGAACTATCTAGGAGTATAGATGGTATAATATCCAATAAAAGGAAACCATTGAAAATCACTTTCATGCTAAGATCCTCCAACTGATACATCTACCAGAAGCAGCAGGATTTGATGACATAACACGTTTAGAGAAAGAGGTTTCTCATCTTCTTTCTTAAGACATAACAGATGATTTTATGTGAATTGCACTATATCTGCCCATTCCCCAGAGAAATACAGGTCACAAGCACAAAAACATCTGCAAGCTTCCCCATGCAAAATGTTCTTTATATTTTGGACCAGAGACGAGGAAGGAGGCAAGACACCTTTCAAAGCAGAAGAAATGCACCATCACGGCACTGTGTTTATGTTGTTCATTTCTTCCAGACTGTCTTTTCTAGATGCAGCTTCTTCAGAGCTTAGTTTGGTGTTTCTCAATCTTTCGTTTTCTTGTCAGTAGCAGCTGTTACTGAAATATATCAAGAGCAGACTTGTCAGAAATTTATTTGAACTAGATTGGATTTAAAATCTGTTGTAAATCAGTGGGCTGGGTTCACATCAGGCAATATATGGAGCAGTAATTTCTGCTTTTGCAAAGAGATTCAAGAATTTGCACAACAGGTGGAAATTTGCAGGACAAAAAGAAGTGCAGGCAGAGACATATTGCTGAAGGAGAGTTTTATGATTGTGTGGCTTCTAGAAAATACGTGTATTCTCCTTGTGACCAGATTTGACGCATTCAACTTTGTTGAAACAGAATGCTGAAATATTCAGACTACCGTAGCCTGGTTTTGCATCTCAGAGGAACTTAAGGAGCAGCAGAGCACAGGGTCATAAAAATGTTTGCCTTTGTGTACTCAATCACAGCACTGCAGCTATACCCTGAGTGCATTTTCAAAGTCAAGGGGGAACATATCTCTGACTTTGCCTTGGATTCTGTATTAAAAAGTTTATCTGTTATTAAAAAAAAAAGTCCATTCACGTGATTTCTAGAGCAACTAACTCAGCATCTATGTGCAATTGGATCAGGGGCTTCATAGAATCATAGAATCATTCAGGTTGGAAGAGACCCTTGGGATCATCGAGTCCAACCATCTCCCCTACTCTACAAAGTCCTCCCCTACACCATGTCCCTCAGCACTGCATCTAAACGGCCCTTAAACACAGCCAGGGATGGGGACTCCACCCCCTCCCTGGGCAGCCTGTTCCAATGCCCGACCACTCTCTCTGTGAAAAATTCCTTCCTAATGTTCAATCTAAACC